ATGTATATTGACTATATAAGATGTTAATGATATTGGTGTCATTTTAAAGGGAATATCATGTACTAATATAATATAAAATAATTGTCTGCAGTAAGTATTACACTTTTCTTGTAAAACTCGAAGTAAAAAATAAATACGATTTTTTTGATATTCCCATTTTCAAGCTTTATTTTCAGGCTTTATTTTTAATTTGACTAATTTGATTTTAACAAAATAAAATTTTTGAATTTTTGAGTCTTTTGAGCATATTTTTTATTTGATTGTAGCTATAGTAGTTTTTCAGTAGTAATCGTTTTTGTTAAGACTGTCTCGCGCGGTCGTAAAAAATAGTGACATTTAATTCGCGGACAGGTCAGGCGAGAATCACTCGCGCAGGGTGGACGGTTGCGTGGTTATAGAATCCGGGGGAATCTGTTTGACAAACGGCAAAATAAAATTACATATTAGAACGCAAGCTGAGGATTTATTTTCTTGTTGTGTAGGCAAGTCTATCGATTCGTTATAAGCATGCAAGATAAATATCGACATTTATTTTGATATAGTTGAGTCAATCCCTACCGTACATGTAAAATATTTCGTATAAAAATGTATTTATCAAATTCATGCAAATTATCAACAACGTGCCGTGTAGTGGCGGTTAAGAATATCCACTACCCCATATCTTCCCGTGGGTGTCGTAAAAGGCGACAAAGGGAAACAGGCAGGAGATGGGCAGCAGCATCTTCCTGGTAACGACAAAATACAATAAAAAACTGCGGTTGCCAACCCGCTCGCCAAGCGTGGCAACTATGGCAATATACCCCCCATAATGAAAGTTACGAAGAGACGGCCCCCAGTCCCCGGCGGCCCCGCTATTCCTGGCTACGGTGGCGACCATGGTAACGGCGGGGCAGGGGGTGCTAAGAATCTCCGGTGGAGGTTCGGTTGCCACCTACAACGACTCGACCTGGCAACATACAACGCACGCACCCTGAGGACTGACGAGAAGATTGTGGAGCTGGAAGAAGAGATAGACAAGTTACGCTGGCATATTATAGGATTATCCGAAGTCCGAAGAGAGGGGGAGGACACGGTAATCCTCGAATCCGGCAACTTGCTCTATCACCGGGAGGGCGACCATCTGTCCCAAGGAGGTGTCGGATTTATCGTCCACAAGTCTCTCGTTAACAACGTTGTAAAGATTGAGAGTGTGTCGACGAGGGTTGCGTACCTTATACTCAGAATCACCAAACGGTATTCGCTGAAGGTCATACAGGTTTACGCACCAACCTCGGCACACCCCGATCAGGAGGTGGAGGAAATGTATGAGGATATCTCTAGAGCCATGCATTCCTCCAAAACCCAATATACGGTGTTAATGGGAGACTTCAATGCAAAACTAGGCACAAGAGAGAACGGTGAGCTGAAAGTGGGGAAATTTGGAATAGGGCAACGGAACCCAAGGGGCCAGCAGTTGGCCGACTTCATGGAGAAAGAGGGACTCTTTATGATGAACTCTTTCTTCCAGAAGCGGCCCCACAGGAAGTGGACCTGGTCGAGCCCCGACGGTTCGACAAAAAATGAGATTGACTTCATTATGACGACCAGACGACAACTGTTCAGTGATGTCTCAGTGATCGCGAGGGTGAAAACCGGCAGCGATCACCGAATGGTTAGAGGCACACTGAACCTAAACGTTAAGTTGGAGAGGTCTCGTCTAATGAAGTCAACGCTCCGTCCCCCTCGTGCTCTAATCCAAAGTCCCGAAACCTTTCAGCTCGAGTTGCAAAACCGTTTTCAGTGCCTAGAAGACTGCAATGAAGTGGACGATTTGAATGACAAGCTCGTGGAAACTGTCCATGCGGTCGGAGCTAAGTTCTGCAAGACCCGCCGCAGAAGAACACAAAAACTCTCCGATCACACTCTTAATCTCATGGCTGTTAGACGGGAGATGAAGCTACATTCTTCAACAGATTTGACAGCATACAGGCAACTGAACAGACAGATCTCCAAATGCATGCGGCGGGACTTACGCAACTTCAATACAGCTCGTATTGAAGAAGCGATCGAGCGGAACCAAGGCTCCAAAGTCTTTGCCAGAGATCTGTCTGCCAGAAAGAGCCAACTGTCAAAGCTGAAGACCGAATGTGGCAGCATCGTTTCCGGGGCACCTGAGATTTTGAGTGAGATTGAGAGGTTCTATGGGCAGCTGTACACGTCATCGTTGGAGCCACACGCAAGTGTGAGTAACGATCCAAGAGCGAGTCTTATCCGACATTATTCCGATGATATCCCGGACGTCAGTCTGAGCGAGATTAGAATGGCTCTCCAGCACCTTAAAAACGGCAAGGCCCCAGGCCAGGATGGAATTACAGCGGAGCTTCTGAAAGCGGGTGGAAAACCGGTACATGAAGTCCTTCAGAAGCTCTTTAATTCCGTCCTCCATGGTGGCATTACACCGGAGGCGTGGAGCAGAAGTGCGGTGGTCTTGTTCTTCAAGAAAGGCGACAACGCTCTTTTGAAGAACTACAGACCGATTTCCCTTCTGAGCCGCGTCTACGTGCTGTTTTCGAGAGTCATTACGAATCGTCTCGCGCGCAGACTTGACGACTTCCAGCCTCCCGAACAAGCCGGTTTCCGAAAAGGCTTTAGCACCATAGACCACATACATACCCTTAGGCAAATTGTACAGAAGTCCGAAGAGTACAATTTGCCACTATGTCTGGCGTATGTGGACTATGAGAAAGCCTTTGATTCCGTCGAAATTTGGGCGGTGCTGCAGTCCCTTCAGCGATGCCAAGTTGACTGTCGGTATATCGAAGTGTTGAAGTGCTTGTACAGTAGGGCTACGATGGCTATCCGAGTACAGAACCAGAGTACGAAACCTATCCAATTGCAGAGAGGTGTAAGACAGGGTGACGTCATATCCCCGAAACTCTTCACCGCTGCATTGGAAGATGTTTTCAAGCTTCTGGACTGGAAAGGATACGGTATCAACATCAATGGCGAGTACATCACTCACCTTCGATTTGCCGACGATATAGTCCTTATGGCAGAATCGCTGGAGGACCTAAGCACTATGCTCAATGACCTCAATAGTGTTTCCCAACGGATAGGTCTTAAGATGAACATGGACAAAACAAAGATCATGTTTAATGTCCATGTCACACCTATGCCGGTAGTTGTTGGGAACACTAAGCTCGAAGTTGTTGACGAGTATGTTTACCTGGGACAAATAGTCCGATTAGGTAAGTCCAACTTCGACCGAGAGGTCAATCGACGGATTCAACTCGGTTGGGCAGCGTTCGGGAAATTACGGCACATCTTCTCGTCAGGTATACCTCAAAACTTGAAAACGAGACTGTACACCCAGTGCGTGTTGCCAGTGATGACATACGGAACTGAGACGTGGTCCTTCACTGCTGGCCGGATGAGGAAGCTCAAGGTCGCTCAGCGAGCTATGGAGAGGGCTATGCTCGGAGTTTCTCTGCGTGATAAACTCAGAAATGAGGATATCCGCAGTAGAACCAGAGTGACCGACATAGCCCAACGGATTAGTAAGCTGAAGTGGCAATGGGCCGGCCATATAGCTCGAAGAACCGACAACCGATGGGGAAGAAAGGTTCTCGAGTGGCAGCCTCGTACCGGCAGGCGAAGTGTAGGGCGTCCCCCCACTAGATGGAGTGACGACCTGGTAAGATTTGCAGGAAGTCGATGGATGCAGGTGGCTCAGGACCGTGCTTTGTGGCATTCTTTGGGGGAGGCCTATGTTCAGCAGTGGACTTGTGAAGGGCTGTAATGATGATGATGATGATCAACAACGTGACTTTTTTCTTTGTAAAATATCAAAATAAACAAAATAATTGAAAACGTTCTATATTTTAAACAGTACATAACATAAATCTCAACCAAAAATAAACGCTTCATAACATTGACCACATCTTGAGAATTTACCTGTAAAATGTGCAATTACCAATTTTATTTCTTAATTATTTCTATGATTAACATCACAGTCATCCACAGAACAAATAACCATTTTAGAAAAAAAGTTAATTACTAAAAATAACCACTATTACTTTCAAAAAATTACAAAATATCTAGGAACTATTTCTTGCGTGTCGAATTGCGCCGACCTGTCATTCAAAATCGGTTACAGAGTCATGAGATTTGATATCCGTTTCTACCTTGCATTTTTGCCATAAGGAATTTTCTTCTCCCTTGCACGCTAAGTTGTTTGAATGTGTGTGATATTTTGAAAGTAGTTATTTTTTTTATTGAAGGTAGCAAGGCCCAATAAAATCTGTTATAAGTATTATTTCCTTTGCTAAAAATGTCTTATACGTAAAAGTAGTGCGATTTTGAGTATTATTTGTCTGCGTTTTTGAACTATTAAAGGAAATGATGTAACACGTGCTTTCATAGTGATCTAAATATCAGGTTTTTTAATTTGCTTACCGGCATTGAGATATTATCATCAACAACAGTCCGCTGGATTCAGTTCTCGTCAACACTGTCCAAGAACTTTACGATGCGAATGCGACACATCGACATATATTGTGAAGAATTTTGATTAACATAATACAAAACAGACAAAGCTGTATGGCCTATGACTTTTGCTTGCCTTAAATGGCGAATTGTAGCAACAACATAGAATTGGGTTGTCACAGTTGTCAATTTTTATTTGTCAAATGTCACTGATTTGTTTCTTGTTCCCTGCTTCCCTGTCAGATGTCAGTGTCAGTAAGTAGTAGGACAGCGTTGGTTGGTTATTCGTTTTGTGGCGCTATTACTTTTAGAATTTTCTAAACTCGTGGAAGTAGAAGTAACATATTACTTTATAAAAATATAGTTTTGTGACGTCTTGTTTTCATTCAAAATTATTAGGAACATCATAAATTGTTATTTTATATATATTTTGCTTCCTAATCCTAAAAAGTATTTTAGCATTCTCATACACCAGGACATTTGAACACTTGAAAAATTGTAAATCGGCTCTTATTTGTGATATAAGTGCAAACATCATGGACCAAAGTGGTATCACTCCAAATACTTCAAATCAGCAGTTAATTAATAACAGTGACAATGATTCTGCGACAGCACTGCTTCAAGGAAAGCAAACCAGAAGAAGAGAAAATCTTGCCGAAGTCACTTTCGTAGAATATATGACCGTGGGAATATTGTGTTTTGTAAATCTAATCAATTACATGGACAGATTTACAATAGCTGGTGAGTACTTTCTCTGTACCTTATTGCAGCTACCCACTTATTAGTTTAAAAAAAAAACTTTGTTTAATATCTTCTGCTCTTTTGCTGCTTTTATTATATTGTTAGAATTTTTGAATTGTTCAATAAATTAATTATGAGGTTGTAGGGCTCTTTTTTGTGTTATTTTGTTTGGGTTAATACTAGGGTTGGGTAATCTGTTAATCACCATCAGATATATGTGAGGAGGGGGAGGGGTGGGATGCTAAATTACTCTCTTGAAAAACAGTATGATTTTAATTTATTTTTTTGAAACATAACCTCACTTTTCTGCCTAATAAAAAAATGTCATCTGTAAATAATATTGAACAATGTTGACTGTATCACGGAAACCTTTTACAATTATTATAATGTTAAGTTTATCAAAAATATGAATGCCTATATCAAATATCATATTAGCAATTATAGGGGTGTGGCTGGGATGGACCCTGGGGCATCTCTGAGCTGTTTTCTATATCAGCCATACATGACAATGTGCATAGGTAAAGTTATTGTAAAAGGTTTTAATAATTCAGGTTGTTTTAACAATAATTCAGTGTCTCGAGAAAAGTGCAAAAACACATTCTTCTGTTAGACCCACACAAAAAGTGTGATTATGAAGTCCCTTAAGTCCCTTCTACTCCGCCTACACCCTCCACTTCCCTCTTCCCCCTCTTCAACTCCCTACAATGGTGTACTTTTTTACCTAGTTTCTGCTCTGATGGTATATTAACCAAGATAAGCATCCATTTTATTTTGCCAACTAGTAATAGACAGTGCAAGGGCATTGGCCTTTGACACATCGACAAGCTTACCCAACATGGTGAGTATGGGCAAATCTTTGAAATAGCACATGCTAGTAGATGCATTCTTTGAAAGGCCTTTGTCTTGTGATGGTAACTATGATTCAGTAATAATCATTAACTAAGGCAACAAGGACTATGTATGGTAGTAGTAGATTAACGTACTATGTGAATGATTACAAAAAAAAACTTAAAAACCGATCTTCTAGCATATGAATGCATTTTTGTTCTATTGCTTAATTTTTGCATAGTTACTCTAGTCTAGTTTTTACTCTCAACTTTGACCATGTAGAACTTACACAAAACAATCCTGCAAATCTTTATTAGTGGTCTTGCGCCAAGTACTCAATTTCAATTATCCAAAAATCTCTTAAAACTCATTTTCTTAAGACTAGACTATTATGAGTAAATGTTTAAAATTATAATTAAAGGTCTATTAATTATATGTGATGTTTCTTTTACCGGCCATGCTTATTTTTCCCGGGAACTCTATGTTGAGTATTGGAACAAACTTCATGTCTGAAGTGGAGTTCTTAATAAATAAAATCTCAGATTGGGGACGAGTCCAGTTTGAACTTCAGAAGACAGGTTTGCACATTTATCACTAAAAAGAACCCCTTTGTCGTATCTCCTCAACCAACATCGAAATCCTCGGCATCGACATATCAAATGCCGTACAGGTCCACAGTTAATTGGAAGGAAACGCTAAATTGGCCTCAAAAAGCTTGGCATGCTTAGTAGAGCGAGACAGTAATTCATGCCATCACACCTTTGCAACTACAAGGCGCAAGTTCAGCCCCATATCGAATACTGTTCTCATCTCTGAGCACCCCAGTGTCGGCTCCTTCCACTTGAATGCATCCAGCAAAGTGGCTCGAATCTATATCGAATATACCTAGGTCTTTCTGATTGGTTCGATTCACTAACGCTGTTAAGAGATGTTGCATATCATTCTATTTTCTATCCATTTCCCCTGGGAGTACTTAGACAAATTGTTTGGATTAATTACAGCCGCCAAATACCACTAACGCACATCGGGACAAAACTAACGGTACCATCCACACTATCTATGGGACGAGTACTCGGTTTGGATTCGGTACTCGGCGGATTGGATCTTTTAGTACTGAGTACTCGGTCTTAATTATATTCGAAATAAAAATAAAAACAAAAAGTCAGTTTTTATCATTATTATTATATTACACACATTAAAACAACAGGAACATGACAAGCAGCAGAAAAATTTAGAACGTACATAAGAATCTATAATAGAAATTATTATTACTAATATTTAAAATTTAAGAGAGGATGGTTGTGATGCAAAAACAATTATGAAAGTAGGATTTTCCTCGTGCACAAATTTGTTGTGCTGCAATATCGCGCTGTTACTCTGTGTAGGGATGAAACGATACCATCAATGTATCGATACTTTTACTCTATACTATACTGTATCTGTACCGTGAGAAGGGTTAGTTAATCAGGTATTCATAACATAAAATTTTCAACAAAGCTATGAAATAAGGTCATTTTTTATGTGTTTTGTGTACTAAGATCAATAATTTTTCTAGATGTTTTCCGATAAAACGATTTCTATAAGCAGTCATTTTCCCGTCAGATGACGAAAACTATCTCTCGAACATAAACTTATGTTGTCCCATTTGACAAATAACACTTATCAACAGTGTCCGTGGGTGTGTGACTGATCGAGTACCCATACAAGTACTTATCTTTTGATACTACTTGGTACTGAGTTTTAAAGTAATGATACCCAAAGTACTTGGTATTGAAAGAAAAGTATAGAGTAATTACTTGTATTTACTCGTATCCTTTCATCCCTAACTCTGCGTAAGGGAAATAACCGCACGCCGCTCGCCACCGCGTTTTTTTTTAAAGCCGAGTATTCGGCAGAGTACTCGGCCCAATCTAGGCCGAGTACCCGGTGGCCGAGTACTCACTACTCGTACTCGTTCGAGTAGATCACTACTCGTACTTGTTCGAGTAGATCACTACTCGTACTCGTTTGAATCATTTGCAAACTGTACATTAAAACTGTTAAAATTACTTAGGTGAACTATTCATGCATCAATCATCTATTGCATGCGCTCAAGTTCAATGTTTAATTTTTATCTTTATGGGACTAGAAAAAAATATTTAATTTTTTGGTCCGTTTTAAAAACGATACTACCTATGTATTTTATTTAAATATTTTTTTTTGAAAAATATTTGCTGCAAGATTACTCTGCGATATAAGTTAAAGTTACAGCCTATATACGTCCCACTGCTGGGCACTGGCGTCCTCTCATTTCTCAGAGGGTTTTAGGGCAAGGAAATGTTCGCCGATATCGACGTACTTATAGCGGTAACTGAAAACGTAAAAATATCGGATAGTTGTTGTAAAAGTTGTATATTATATGTTAAAAATTGCTCAAAGCTCTAAAAATCCTGACATTATATTAAGATTGCGCAACGTAATATACTTACGTGCACAAATCCTTTAATCTTGATGCAAAGAATGTCGTCACGATGACTACCAGCCAGGATTAACTCAGATTACGTAGTAGAGGTATCCTTTGGTTGCGTCAGTGTTGTCGTAGTAATAAAGGAGAAAAGAAATGTTTCGGAATATACGAAGGTAAATATACTTGAATCTACGTGAGGTTCTTGAACTAAATAATATTTTACGTTTTGTTGGCAGGTCGGAGTTTTTGAAGGATTTACTCGCAGTTTATACGTATCTTCACTGGTTAAACCGGTTCTGTTCAGTTCTTTATGTACGTAAAACACTTCTGCAAAAATATTTTGGCAAATCAATAAAATGCCTTTGTATTTGAAACAAGAAATTATTAATGCTTAATATTTGAGGGAGTCAAGGATGGCATAAAACATTATTCTGAGCCACCTGCATCCATCGACTTCCTGCATATCTTGTCAGGTCGACACTGCATCTAGTACACTGGCCGCTCTACACTCTGCTTACCGGTACGATGCTGCCACTCGAGAATCTTTCTTATAGCGTTTGTTGTTACCAGTATCCAAAATATTTGATTTAAGACTTCTTAGCTTAAAACCTAATTTTGTCAAATCAAATTCTGATCATTATCGGCAACTGTACAGAATACTGCCACAAACTGACAGAAATTATAGTCATGAGCCTTTTGAGTTACCTACCTCAATTCTTTTATTCTTTAAAAACACGAATTGTATTATAATGTAATTTAATACACATTAAACGCAATCAGTGTTCTAAATTTCTGAAAAATATATTCTTTTACAATAAACGCGGTGTCATTCGCAACTGTCAACGACTTCACGTGAGGCTCTCATGTTGAAGACTAGTGTTAATTAAAGAAAGGAATGTTTTGCGGCTCTTAAAAAGCAGTAAATTTAAAACGTTTTGATGTGAGAAGCAAGTGGGTGTATGAACGCGGCGTGCCCTTCCCATTATCGGGTGACCCGGCCGTCTGGCGGTTTAATTGAATGAAATGATATTGGCCAGGTGACCAATAAAAAGCTCCGCCGCTTCACTATTACTTACTTTATTGGATTAATTAAATTGTCTTTTATAGGTTCTTTCACACAGCTTGATTCTTTAAATGTGGGAAAGTAACTAATCAGATATTAAATATTCATTAATAGTTTTACTTCTCTTTCTACAGATCTATTTTAGGTATAATTCAACAAATAAAGAGTAAAATACAATGCAGCCTATAAACGTCTTACGGTAGATGCCTATGAGTTACTTAGGAATAATAATAGTTTCATTAAAACTACAGTCTACAGCTAATGCTTACAGCAATACGCTGAGAACTGTCTCCTTGCTAGTTTAGATAGATGTTAAGTGGATAGAAGTGCAATCTCGTAGAATATTTATGCATACGACGAATTTGTGTTTTCGTTGAACCCGTTGACAAAAGAACACCACATGTCACCTCAGGGGGTCTGGGGACATGGAATGCTTCATTTCAAGTAAAAAGGGTCTCCGGTTCTCTACACTCACCACACGAAACGCAGTAGCATTAAGCTGCTATTTTACACTAGTATTCTGTGAGAGCATGGTCCTACCCCGTTCGAGCCGACACATTCGTCTTATAACCATAAGATAGCTGCAGTGTGGCTACCATGTGTAAAGGAAATAAATAAAGAAATAAGGATATTAACAGTAAAATCAGAGTAACTAAGATAGTG